ATTCTGCCATCGTAGGTCCAACAGCTGTCCAAGACATGTTGTTTAACAAGATTACGTGTTTTCCACAAAAGTGAAGATCTTTTTTTGGTTAGTGCCTCATTGACTTAGATTGGATCGGTCTGTTTGGTTGGATTTTGATTATAAGACTTGAGATTGCTTCTCTTTTTTTTTTGAGTACACCTTTGCTTTATTTCTGTAACTATTAAATTTGACAATTATGTCTCTGGGTCTTGTGTTTGATTTTGGATTGAATTTACCCACCCTGTGGCTTCTTGAAATGTCATTAATGGACATTTTCTCATCTTGTTTGGTGAAAATCAGATTGTTTATGACATTTAATACAAGCTCATCAGTTTTTTTCATTTTTATCCTCAGGTATCCCGGTAATCTTCAGGCAGTTTCTTCTTGAGTATTGCTCCCTCTCTTCTACTCTGTCTCTCAAATCGTTTACTTCCTCACGAAGTGATGAAACTTCTGGTACAAGAACCTCTGTGATAGCATTTTTGAAGTTTTCTTTTTGTAAGATTAGGGCTATAGCCTGTTTAAACGAATTTTCATCACCAGACATTAAATCAAGCAAATCGTTAAGCTGACTTAAATTTTCTGAATTGGTGCTGCTATCACATCTGAATCTCTTCAGTGGGTTGTCTTTTGTGTTTGTGTTCCTAGCCATTTTGGATTAACAGGTCGACTGATCAAGTATTGTGTTGAGTATGTACTCACAATGGCGACAAGCCTTGATTTGTTACCGGGTTTTTTAAACAAAGGGATCCAAAAGTTTTTCTTCAGAACATATATATTTGAGCTTAAATTTTCAGATTGCAAAATATATACACAAAGCACTTACATTTGGTTCATTTTCACACAAATTGTCCACTAGATAAACACTCAAATAAAACACTAACTTCGGAGCTGAAAAAGCCACCTCCGCTTTACATGATGACAGGGACTTTCTTTGGGTACCAACATGTTTGACCTCTTGACCTTGATCCTGGAATTTAACTTTTGTTCTATATTATTAATAAAATATTTACAGGTAAAAACAGAATGTGTTTGTGAAACACTGATGCCCCCGTATGGCAGCTTAAGTCAAAGGTTTATAATTAAGTTTCGAAGGTGCAATTCAAAGTTCAAGGTCAAGTAATCAAAAATGTTGTTACCCAATTGTGTCTCAATGAAAATACCTGTAAAATATGGTATTTTCATATTAAGGTTAAAAGATTTTTTAAATCAGGTCAGACTCTAAGGTCAAAGTCGAAGAGTCAAAATTAATTGGACGTAGGAGAAAGTCTTGTCACAGGAAATAAACATGTGCAAAACTCTAGCTTCGTGTTCAAATGTTTTGGCCAAAGTTTTTAAAAAGTATGTCAAACACCAAGGTCAAGTTCAAAATATCAAAATTATTGTACCTAGAAGAAGGTCTTGCCACATAAAATATACCTGTGAAATACGAAAGCCCTAGTGCTGACCATTCAAAAGATATGGCCTATTTTATGTTTTTTAATGGGTCAAACTTCAAGATCAAAAAGTCAAAGATATTATATCAAACAAGCATTCTGATAGTATTGCAGTAGCAATACTAGTCCCCTACCTGCAAGTGTAATCTGGTTCCCGTTAAAAATTGAAAATGCCATAATTCCGTCAAAAATCAATGAAGTGGAACGAAATGCAAACTTGATCTATAACTCATCAAGATTAACTCACATACCAAAAATCAGCTCAATATCTGCAAGCGTTTAGAAAAAAAAAATGCGGAAAACCCTAAAAAATTGAAAAGGTCGTAAATCCTTCAAAAATCATTAAAGCGGAACGAAATGCAAACTTGATCTGTAACTCATCAAGATACACTCACATTCCAAAAATCAGCTCAATATCTGCAAGCGTTTAGAAAAAAGTGCGGAAAACCAAGTGGGACAGACTGACAGACAGAAAGAGGGACAGACAGACAGACGTACGAACCGACTCAGAGAGACCTATAGTCCCCTCCGGTTTCGCCGGTAGGGGACTTATAAAAGGTATTGTCCAAATTAAGGTACATGTGAAGTTTGAAAGCCCTAGCTCCAACTCCAACTGTTTAAAAGTTATTGCCAAGGTTAAACTTATGAACTTTTTCTGTAGAAATTAGTCAAACTCAGAGGACAAGGTCAAAAGGTCAAATATCTTAGTACCCTAAAAGGGCTTGTAACAAGGAAAACATGTGAAATATAAAAGCCCTAGCTCCAACCGGTCAAAAGTTATGGAAAAGGTTCAACTTTTTGCGGACAAACAGAGAAACAGACAGACAGTCGGGCGGACAGAGGAAAAAAGCTATATACCTCTGAATCTTCGATTACGGGGGCATAAATTTGAAAGAGAATGTTTTAAATGTCTTGAGATGTTTCTAGTTATTTCTTTAGTTCTATCGTACCGAGCTTCGACGCTTTTTTCCGCTTGAAAGTTTTTCATGCCTGCAAATCTGCTTTTTTTTTCTTCATTGAAGTCGCACGGTGCAGTGGTTAGAATGTACGAATGTATACTCTACAGCAGATGTGATCCTTCGGGTTCTCAGGAACGTGGAGAACGGTCCTTCGGATGAGACCGTATAAACAGAGGTCCCGTGTCGCACTAGATGTTGGCACAAAAAAGGTCCCTCACTGCTCAATGGCCCTGAGTGTCGAGAATAGTTCTAAATTTGCAGTCTTCTAGAGGCAAGTGGTGGACTCTCCATTTGAGTGAAAAATCCTCGAGAGGGACGTTAAAAAACAAAGAAACACACAAACCTTCATTGAAAATCTTGATTCAATAACCCAAGTCGCTTAGTAGGAAATTCTAGAACAGGCCAACACTTTGAAAATCAGAAAATCCTTTATATCTCGACATCAGGTAAAGCCATCAACGAAAAGAATTTCAGTTAGTTTCAAATCATCCCTATTAGATTGGAAAGTTTTGATGAAATTTTACTGAGCCAAGAACTCGCGTGCACAAAATCAGAAGCAGGTCTTCTGATTTCAGACAAACAGACAGACGGACAAACAGAGCAAAAAAATTACATATATAACGGGGGTGTGAAAAGTCCAGTTTTGCATTCCACAATCTTTCAAATTGAAGTCTATACCTTTTATTTCCTACAGATATTACATGATATTTACAATAGTTGCATGCTTGCATTTATGGAATAAAAATAATCGGCTAATGCAGACTAACAAAATGAACTGACACATGCTGTTCACCAAATTGAACTAAACAGCCCACTATTTTAACATGAGCAGTACATATTCTCAACAATGAGTAATGCATGTATGTACAATTTGATAAAAGATTCAAATCGAAATTGACATTATATAATACTTTTTCCAAGCTGTGCTGAATGTACGTCTTGAAAAGTTTTTGTGATAAGCCAAGACAATGATCTTATTATTCATCAATTTAATATACATTTTTATTACATTCACATTGGCTGATCCTTGAATCATGAACATTCGAAGAAACTTGAGTACACCAAGACGAATCAGATGCATACGTCCCCTTCCTTTCAACCTTTGTTATTTTTAATGGATGGAACATCAGATGTGTTTCTACGCACTCATCCTTTGGTATCATCCAATCTTTGCCTTGAACAATTCCGCTCACATATTTTAAATTTAATTTGTATAAAATTATCATTATTGTGATTAGTTGCTCATCCTCTTCCTTATGATACATGAATAATTGAGTTTTTGCCGTCTTGCTCTTTCGGTTATTCACAAATTCCATTTGCAAATAGAGCATGTACATTATATGACATTTTTTGATTTTCTTTTCCCCTCTGCACACTAGATTTACTTACCTTGTCATTGTCATTTGCAAAATTATTTTGTTAAAAAACATTTTGATTGTACACACAAGTACTATGAAGTTGACTTTAAAAAGATGCTTGAGTTTCTGATTGACAATATTTATGTTTGGAGACTAGGTCTTCCAATAATCTATTGGAATTACCATGGGCACCAATTGCTCCCCGTTATTAGCAGACCTTTTTTTGTATTCATATGAAGCAGAATTTGTCCAAAATCTTATACGTGAAAAGAGGAAAACACTTGCTGTGGCATTCAACTCGACATTTCGATGTATCGATAACGAATTGTCAATTAACAATGGTTATTTCCATTTTTATGTCGATACGATATATCCCGGTGATCTTGAGATAAAAAATATTACAGAGTCTGACACATCTGTTTCATATTTGGATATTTTACTTGAAAAAGACGTTAATGGTAATCTAACAACAAAGCTTTATGATAAACGTGATGACTTTAATTTTTCAATCGATCATCCCTTACTTATGCAGCAATATACCTTCATCACCTGCATACGAGGTATATATCTCTCAGTTGATTCGATACGCAAGAGCATGCTCTACGTATGTACAATATCTAAAACGAGTTAAATTATTGACAAACAAGTTGATGAAACAAGAATATCAGCAGTCTCGTTTAAAGTCATCATTTCGTAAGTTCTATTGTCGATACAATGACCTTGTCAGCAAATACAATTTATTATTGAGTCAAATGCTGACTGACATTTTTCATACTAATTGTTAGGCCATTATTTACACATTGAATTGTCGACGGATTTTTCCGTTATTTCCCGATCATGACAAGGAGCATGCGGCGGGTGTGACCGGTCGGCAGGGGACGCTCACTCCTCCATGGCACCTGATCCCGCCTCTGATGTTTCGGAAGTCCGTGTTTGCTCTGCTCCTATTTTGTAATGTTTAATGGACTTTTGAGCTTGAATACTGTCGTTATCTCCATATATTTCATTCTTTGTGTAAATTTTATGAGTTTTCTAATATTTCATTTTGCTGTTCTTGTCTTTCTTGTCTTTCTGTCACTGTGACAAAAGACTTCTTGGGGTAACAATTCAAATTTTTAGCATGAAACAATTTCAGATTAAGAGACTTTTAATAAAATTGGCATATTTTCTTTCTAAAAATGTTTATTAAGGTTAAAAAATTTTTTCACATAATTTCTCTCTTTCAGGAAAACTCACCACCGTGATTATATGTGAAAATCACCAAGGTTACATACGCTGTGACAACGATGAGACTATTCACATCATACAGGCAAATTATGGAAGAACAGAGGGTGGCAATATTTGCCCTCATGCTTCTATTAGAGATACAAACTGTTACTCTACTAATGCCAAAGGTGTAGTGGGCACCAAGTGTAATGGAAGAAGAGAATGCAACCTGGAATCAAATAACGGAATATTTGGTGATCCGTGCATAGGGACTTATAAGTATATGTCAGTGCAATTTACATGTATACCCGACTCGACGAACGTCTGAACTTGGCTGTTGGTCATCAAAAAGGAATTTAATATTTCCAACAAATCAGTGCCATATCATATAGAATTAAATGCGAATTATTAAAAGAGTGTATACCTATCTTAAAGTGTTTTCACACAGGAAAGGGTCTTTTAGTTTGGGTATACAGTTTACTAAGACTTGTACTTTACATAATATTATTTATATTAATGCAGTAAGTATTTTGATAACCCAGTTACCCATTAAATTTCATATTTCTTTCCATAATCCTCTTATCACTAGAACACCATATCTTATCCTCCTTCAATGAATAAAAAGTCTGTAAAACAGTTTGTCGTGTGTTGCCACCTTTGTGACGTTTAATAATTTGTTTGAAATTCTCAAAAGTATTATTAACAATGGCATATAATTTTAGCAGACACAAAATATAAATATGAGAAATAAACCAATTTTATAAAGGGAGATAATCCAAATTTCTTGTAATTACAACTTAGTTAGACGTAACAGAAAAATCATGAAAATGGGGCTGAAAACGCCACTGACTTTACCGCACTAGGGAAAGTTCAGACCCATGAAGAAAAATGGCAACACACATCAAACATTAATCATACCAGAAGTGAGAAAATTTACCTAATCTGTACATTGCAATATGGGAATAAACATATGTCCAATAATGCAACAAAACACCGTCTGTTCATGAGACATATATTTATCTATCATATACTAAGTAGAAAATAAACCTATTCCACGATGTCTAATAGGGCGTTGTCATAATATAATTCAATAACCGGTCATCTCACCCATGTCAACCCGGAAATAACAATTGTATAAAGTTTATACCTTCATTCTATTTAAACAAACACGTAGTAAAGTTCGAAAATTACCTAAATGAAAAATATAACGAACAGTGATAGATCTGATAAGAACTACAAATCACACGGTTCTTTGAACAGGGCATAAACACGGACCCCTGGAAATTTCAGAGGTGAGATCAGGTACCCAAGAGGAATAATCATTCACTGTTGACTAGTTACACCCGCCGTGGACCCTATGTATTGATCAAGCATAGGGAACATTCCTTAGTATTTAGTACAAAAACAAAGGCCACACAATGATTATAAAACAAGTCAACCAAAATACGATCCAGTGATAGGTTATATTTGCTAATAAGGTCATTATTACGAGCATTAAATTTACGAAATGCTGACTTTAAACTAGGTTGTTGAAATCCCTGTAGCCTGTCTTGGTTTAAAAACTAATCGTACTCAGAGCATGTTCGTGAGTAGCGAACAAGTTGGGAGACATAAACACCTTATGCAAGTGATATTTCTACAAAAATAAGAAAAATTGACCAAGGAAGTCCTGAAGTCATCTCGATTGCCATACAATTTTGTTGTTACATGTAGTTGACCCTTTCCGTCTATAGTCAGTAAAACATCCAAATATGAACAGATGTGGCACACTTTGTGATGTATTATATTTCAAGTTAGCTAAAGTTAGCTACAAAATAACTTAATTTGCTCTATTGAATTCCAATGAAAAAGTAATATACATGCACGAAGCATTCTTTCATGTAAACGACTATGTTATAAATGACGGAATGAAGGGCGAAAAGGGGTATCACTGTATGCTTCGACCATTTCATTGCGTGGAATAAAAATTCATGTTTTATATATAAGAATCAAAATTAAATTAATTAAGTAATGTTGAAGGTTATATTCCTGTTAAAATATAGTACTACATGTAGATTATCCTTTGTTTATTAAAACAATTATTATGCAGATTGGTTTTAGGTAAAGAATCCAGATCTAAAACAAAAGTTTACAATGCAAAAAAGAGGAGGTCTTTTCTTTAAAATACTGTCAAACAATTTTGATAACATTATTTTGTTGAATTGATTTTTTTTTTTCAATCTTCTTTACACTGCATTCTCTCTGCTTTGAAAGAAATCACTGATATAATCAAATGAGATAAATATCATAATTTATTTAAATATTTCTAAAGGAATATACATTAAGTAATATGCATGCACGAAGCATTCTTACATGTAAACGACTATGTTATAAATGACGGAGTGACGGAATGAAGGGCGAAAAGGGGTATCACTGTATGCTCCGACCATGTCATTGCGTGGAATAAAAATTCATGTTTTATATATAAGAATCAAAATTAAATTAATTAAGTAATATTAAAGGTTATATTCCTGTTACAATATAGTACTAGATTATCCTTTGTTTTATTAAAACAATTATTATGCAGATTGTTTTTAGGTAAAGAATCCAGATCTAAAACAAAAGTTTACAATGCAAAAAAGAGATCTTTTCTTTAAAATACTGTCAAACAATGTTGATAACATTATTTTGTTGAATTTATATTTTTCCCAATCTTCTTTACACTGCTCTCTCTGCTTTGAAAGAAATCACTGATATAATCAAATGAGATAAATATCAAATTTATTAAAATATTTCTAAAAGAATATACATTAAGGTATAGGGTTTTCTTATCCAAAGTTGGAGCAAGAAACTGTTCCAAAATTGTTCTCAAAAAGATCCCGTCCGGTTTAATTTATAACCATCACAATCTTAAATGTCTAATCATTGACAAATATATTTCACATGTAGATATTTTCGTGTTCCATGACAGGGATCTCCAAATATTCTATTCTCAGCTGATATGAAGCAAGTTCTTTCTCCGTTGCATTTCCACTTGGTCAACAGTGAAGAATAAAGGGAACGGCAGTGGGTAGGTTTTGTAATTTTTGCAGGGCAGATATGACCTCCTTCTGTTCGACCGTAGTTGGCATAAAGTATTTTTATTCGCTGTGGGTGATTACAACGAAGGTAAGCAAATGAGTATTCGCAAATGATCAGTCCAGCGTATCCTGAAAAAAAGAAACATGTCACACATGATATGTGAACGACGAAAACGAACAGAAGTCATTCGTAAAATTCAAAAGAATAAGATTTGTGAGCAGAGCAAACACGGACCTCTGAAAACAGAGGAGATATGAGGTGCCATGAAGGGGTAAGCATTCCGTGTTGCCCGTTCACTCCTGCCGTGTGATCATGATCTGGACAACGGAAAAATGCGTAGAAAATCCAATGTGAAAATAATAGCCTAACATTTTGTCAGTCAATATTCAAACTAACGTTACATTATTTGAATTTGCAAACAAAGTCATTGCATCGGTCATAGAATTTTACAATATATTGATTTCCACGAGATTATTGTTATCCTTGATTCATCAACTTCTTTCGCAGTAGGTTGCCTCGTTTTAGAAATTTTCGTACGTAAAACATGCTCTAATATATATAATCAACTGGGAGACATAAACCCTATATGCAGGGGATAATGGCATATTCCACTTAAACTAGGAAAGTTGACCAAAAAATAAAATTATCACATTTATCAAAAAAATTATTTTTTATTTTGTAATCAGTCTTTCTCTAATATTCAATGGGATAAATCGAAGTAAAGTATGAATGAAAATGAATTTTGTTAACTGACAAAACACGGTCGACATATCCAAATGTCGAATTGAATGCCACAGCAAAAGACTTCTTTTCACGTAGAAATTTTTGGATAAATCCTGCTTCATAAAAATAAGATAACACTTCTGCTCTGAACGGGATACAATTAATATCCATGAGAATTCCTACAGATTATTGAAAGACCTGGTTTCCAAAGATTGCTTTCTGGATATTGTAATTTTTTTTTTTTTTTTTTTTTTTTTTTTTTTTTTTTTTGGTTTTGTTTGCTCAAAAGGCCCTTTCACCTTAAAAAATTCTTTTCATCAGTTTGGATAGTTAGTCATAAAAATATAAACAGCTGTAAAGGAGAAACTTTAGACGTACAGTGCTCCAGCATATTCTATGAGTGGTGTACATCAAATGTGGATTCTCAGAAATTCCAAAGAACATTTAGAAAATTTAAAATTACATATTTTTCGAAAGTTCATACCATCAAAAAGTATAATTTGTGAACTTATTACTTCACGAAAAATTAAAAACAATTCTTTTTGATATCATAGACTGCTGCTTCTTCAATAAAAATGGAACCCATTTCATATCATGAGATTTGTCATCAACAACATTTCTTCGTTAAACATCACGCTGCTTCTAAAAGTAAAAGTATGCTGGAATTCCTCATTGACAACGTATATGTAGTCTTTGTAGACCAGATTTACCAACAATTGTAAACCGTTTGAATTCCGTGGTTATTGTTGTCTTTTATCAGATTGCCTGTTTTTTTTTTTTCTTTTATTCCTATGAAGCAGAATTTATTGAAAAACTTCTACATGAGAAGAAAACATAAATCATACTGTGGTCTCCAGCGACATTCAGATCTATCAGGGACGTTTTATCAATTAGCAAGAGTTACTTCCATTCATATGTCGACTCCATTTTTCTCTGTGAGCTCGAAATAAAAGACACCACAGACTGTGTCATATTTCATATTTGGATGTTTTATTGACAATGGACGATAATTAAGGTCCATCTAACAACTAAACTGTATGACAGATGAGATGACCTCGTCTTTTCTATCGTCAGTTTTCCTTATTTAAGTAGTAATATATGTATTCCGCACTCACGTATATGGTATATATGTCTCCAAATTAAACGTATTCGATAGAGCATGCTCCGAGTACGATCAAATCATAAACCAAGGCAGCTCAGGCTACTGACAGATAAGTTGATTTTACAGGATTTCAAAAACTTCGCTTAAAGTCAGATATCGTAAATCCATTGTCGTTATTATGACCTTGTTAGCAAATATAACTTATCATTGGTTGCCATTTTGAATGACATATTTGATACCAATTGTTAGCCCTAAGTTTTATACTAAATTTAACTTTGAAATATTCCTACTAACTGATCGATACATAGAGCTGAGGGCGGATGTGAGCGCTCGACAGAGGATGCTTACTCCTCAAAGACACCTGATCTAACCTCTGGAATTTCCGGGGGTCCGTGTTTAACGCGAAATTCAATTTTTTTTTTTTTTTCTTTTTTCTTTTTTTGCTTTTATTGTGCTTTTATTGTGCTTTTAATGGAAAACCTTCACGGGCTAAGTTTATAACTTTCGAGAAAGAATTATCAATTATTATTAGATACTAATTATCACTTATGAATTATGCAACGTGATCAAATTTAAGAACATTACATTTTAATATCTACCTTTTGACGACCCTTTTGCCGACGCTTTTGATATGACGAAAAGACAATATATCCAAAAATAAACAAATAGTGCGTTTTTAATCATTGTATTGCGACTAAATTCAGGGAGAGCAAAGATTCCTCGCTTTGGTATTTATATTTGTACGAGACCTGGTTGATGACAATATCTTTCAAAGTCACGAATGCTATAGTATTTAATTGCATTTGATGCATCGATATTTTATTATCATGTGTCGGGACTTTATCTTCTCTATATGAGTAAA